TAGTACTTGTAGGCCTAGGTAATTATGCAAAACCAAGCCTTAAACCAAGGCCTAACTAAAAAATTAAAATTGTCATAGTATGTAACTCAAGTTAAAATAACACTTTTCATTACTAGTGCGCACTAATCAAATATTATATGTCATTTAAACGACCCATTGGTATTAACATAGCAACATCAATGTATTTTTAAAAATTAGGCAGCGACGTTCTCTCAGAAGTTGTTTTGTAGACGTTTATCTGTTGATGACCTTTTGACCTCCTGAATTCTGCAATGCGATTTTCGAGTCGATTCAGCCGAGACGGCCCGAGTGGAGTTTCATGTAAATGTTTCGTACGGAAAAAAAAATCGCGAACAGGACGTGCTATAAACCGTTTACTATTAGATGTTAAATTGCATGTTAAAAATACATTTAACCACGAAATTGATAAGTTATAGTAGGCTTATGACACAGTAATTTTACCCATAGACATAAATAAATGTTTAAATATGGGATGTAAATGTGAAAATATGTAATTCTTGATTCATATATGATAAATGATTTAAAACATTTCCAGTTTTTGATAAACAATGACAGCTGTTATGAGGTTACCTCCGCTTCCAACTCTGAGGGAGGTCATTCGACTCTACGGACTCAGGGCTGAGAAACAACTGTCCCAGAACTTTTTGATGGATCTCAAATTGACAAGTATGATAACAAATTTTTTTCTATTTTTATATTATTTTGGGTTTTTTTTTTCATTTTTCTAATTCTTTTCCTGCAATTTCGGAATGTTTGCATGTTGTTTCCCAATGAAGGCATCTTAATAGTGGAATATCTAGGAACCTTAAAATGAGGGGTGAGGGATGATATAGGGGCCGCAGAGGTGAACTGGGGTATGGGTGGCTTGAAGTTGAGGTGAGGGGAGTTGTGTGCAAAATAAAATGATTGTAACCTACTAAACCGTCTTATTTTTTGCTTCGAACATTTCCAGTGGGGGAGGGGGGTTAAGCTGCCAAAGAGCAGAAGCTTTTTTAGGGAGTGCTCCCCACCACTAGATATGCCACTGCATCTTAATTTATTTTGATGCACTCAAAGATAATAGGAAGTAAAGCTCATAAAACTTGATCATTCTGATTTAGCTTCTTGCTTGTACCCCTGCATAAATAATACCTACTGTAATTATAAAAAAATAATTATGGTTTTGTACTGTAATGATTATTCATATGAAAAAATTAAAATGGTTTAATGTGTGTAAAGAATATAGTACTTATAGTTGGTTTTGAATTTTGTAAAATGTTTCCATAATTTTGTAGATAAATTTGTTAGACAAGCTGGAAAGCTGACAGGTAGCCACGTGTGTGAGGTTGGGCCAGGTCCAGGAGCAATAACAAGATCCATTCTGCAAGCAGGAGTAAAGAACTTGGTGGTGGTTGAGAAAGATGAACGATTTAAAGACAGCCTTGAGGTAATTCGGATCTTATTAAAGGAGGTTTAGAGTTAAAATTTTCTCTAGTATAATCATTTATGGATCACAAACCCCCTGGTTCAGGATTGAATAACTGAGAGGTTTATTTTTTATCGACTGATAAATATTTGAGAAAAAAAAATGTTTAAAAAAAGTGTCAGGACTGTGTAGTTAAACTCTTTACAATCTGTGGTTTTTAAGGGAATGGTAATTAATATTTCCATTAATTGAGGTTTTGTATTTCATTTCATCCAATGTTATAGATGTTGGCAGAAGCATCAAATGGAACAATGAGTGCTGTATTGGAGGACATCCTTCGATTTCGCTTTGAAGACCACTTTCCAAAAGAAATATATCGTGATTGGCAAGATGGTAGGATTATATCATTATTGGACCTTTATCATTGGCATGATCACATCCATATCATGATGATGTAATGTCACAGCCATGGGCAAATAACTGTTGTATGTGACTCTGTTTTAATTATTTAGTGTTATTTTCTCTTCTCAATAATAGAATGCCCTGATTTGCACCTAATTGGTAACCTTCCATTTAACGTATCCACACCCCTCATTATGCAGTGGCTTGAAGCAGTATCCAACCACACTGGACCATTCTCATTTGGACGAACAAGAATGTTACTAACATTTCAAAAAGAAGTTGCAGAGGTATGCTAGTTGAATTGTGATAAATTTTTGTAGTTAGCATACACTCTTATCTTTAACGCTGTTGTTATGTATTAGAAAATGATGATGATGGGGATATTAGTTGGTGGTGGTGTTGTCTTTATTAGGATCTATTCTCACAAGGGAAGGTGTTACACTGCAGTCGCCACAGGTTTTTGAGGGGCCCCCATCTAAATTCCATTGTTAACTTTCAACAAGGACCATAATTAACTGTTTATCATAATTATAGTACTGTATAACACTTTTTAATATTGAATTTTGAAGCGTTTAGCAGCACCACCAGGTCATGAACAGCGCAGTCGTCCATCCGTCATGGCTCAGTACTTGTGTAGTGTGAAGCATTGCTATGATATTCCAGGAGCTGCTTGTGTACCACAACCAAAAGTAAGGGACCTGAAATCACTTTTAAAGTATTAATTCATAATTTTTTAATAATAAATTGTTTTAAATTAGCATATTATGTTAATTTGTCTTATCATTATTTGGTTATTAGTGTGAGTTTTCAAGGCAATGTTTAATACCTACATTTTGTTAGTTATGAAGCTGGGGCCCAGTGGTTGTGTCTGACTGATGGGCATCCTTTCCCTTCCTTAAACCTGCAACTATATAATGATTGTATCTGTATGCAGGGGTGGCACTAGGCAAATTATGGTACAATATTAATGTTAAATTTGAATACTGTAGATTACTATCTTTTATAGAAGCAGGTAGTCAGAATGATGTGGACATTTTATCTCTTACCAGGTTGATATTGGAGTTGTGCATCTAACACCCTTAAAGCAGCCGCAGATAAATTTACCATTTAAGTTGGTAGAAAAAGTAGTGCGCTCAGTTTTTCACTTCAGACAAAAATACTGCCAGAGGGGAGTTGAGTATGTTAATATTATTTTATTTTAAAGTAAAAATATAAAGCTGTTCATTCCATTTAGTGACATTAGCCCTAATAGACAATTTTCATATTTGTTTTTGTCATGTAGTCTGTTCTTTTTTTTTGTGGTTGTATATGTGAAGTGCTCACATGTCTTGTGTTCAATCTCTGAAAAAATCTTAATATTTAATTACAGTAGTCATTTAAAAGGATTAACTTACTATGAGAAACATTTCTGTTCTAACTAATTTAGAAAATTCTGAAAATGATTACCAGGCATTTGAAATTTACTAGCACAACAAGTATATAGTTAGCATTATAAAACTGATAAACATGAATGACAAAAATTCAATTGAATTTCCTTGTTTTTTCAGAATTTTGTTTCCACATGGCCGAGAAGACCTGTTGAATGAGGTTTTTGAGGTAGCAGCCATTGATCCAACTACAAAACCATACAAATTGACAATGGATGATTTTAAAAGCATATGCTGGGCTTACTACGACATATGTGAAAGAATACCCGGACTGATTGATTACAATTATCGGTAACAATGTTTACAAGACTACCATTTCAAATACATGGTGCCAAGTTTATGTTCCAACAGTTGGCCCACTATTAAACTGAATAAGTAGCGGCAGCAGCTAAAAATGCAGAATGACTGGCGTAGCATGTACTATACATTCTATTGTAAGGCTTTACCTTAACATAGATTCGGCCAATGATCGTTTTAGGAGAAAACAAAACACACAGTTAAATTAATATGTATTATGTTCTACATTCCAAGTTGTTGCAGATGAAACAGATGCCAGAACATTTTGCTATTGTTCAAGAAGCAATTTGGCGCAGCGGGAAGGGCTTGGTCTCCCAACAGGGTTTCGATCCCTCATGTAAATTTCGCTGGTGTCTTTGAGCAAGGCACTTTATCTGCATTGCCTCTCTCTACCCAGGAGTATAAATGGGTACCTGGTGGGGTTGCCTGCTCCTGCGCTGATTACCAGCAGCAACAATTAGCATGTGGACCAAATGAACCAGTGAAAAGAAGCGCTGCTATATAAATAATATTCGAACTTCATTTAGCAAGTTTAAACACTACAGTTACTAAAATCAATACAGTATTTTTTATTCATCATCTAATGACTGTTTTATACTGTATATTATTGTACTATATTATCTTATTTCCTATATCAATAAACAAAAGGTGGGAAATTGTATATAACAATAACAATTGTGTCACTTATTGCATAAATTAACTTCTTATACATCATTAGCTTAGGATTGCAGAATGTAATGATGCAAGAAAGTTCTCATCATGTTATAGTGGGCAGGGCCACCCAGCCTTGAAGTTCTCCACCCAATCTAAAGCTAATTTCATGGCCCTCCACCCACCCTTATTAACCAATTTTTTTTATCCTTAAAATCTACTATTATTTAGAGTTTACCAATGTTATCACCCACCCTTAGTTTTCTACAGCTACAACCTTGGACCAGAGAACTCGTTCTAGCAACACAAAAGCTCCCTAATATTATATGTCACAACTGCATTCGCCAATTAACACGCTTGTTTATGATGATGCTATAATCACCCTTGCTGTTGAGTGCGTGTACACATGCTTTATATGTTCATAGTAAAAATAGTTTCTGAATGTTTCCTTGTGTCCTGTCTTCAAAAATATCAGATATATTCGCTATTTGATCATAGAATACAACATTACATACTGTATTTACACATCCTGTTATGTATGGTTTAAAGTACACAAATAGTAATACTGTACTACATAAAATCAATTTTTAACTTTGATATAAAGAGTTGCAGTACTGTACATCATCTAGAAAAAAAGTAGTTTCCATTACAAAAGTTTAATAACCTTAAATCACTGTCCAAGTTCTGCAACTTGCTTTCTTCATTCATCCTAATGCCAGCTTTTAATTTGTTCTTGTCATCATGTTGTCAAATTCTAATTCAAATCTATAATCAATTGCCAAGAATTATACTGTATCCGGTACAGCTTGTACACACAAGTGTATTTAAGGTTCGTAAAATTGCTACATTGTCAGCAGCGCTACACCTTTTCTTTTCCTTGTTTGTTTCCTCTTGCGACCTGCTTCTTGGAATTTCTCGGTAGCATCAGTAAAGAATGTCACATCATTTTTGGCTTCAATTTCACTTTGGAGAAACTTCATGGCAGCCATGTTGAATCCTATAGTATCCTAAAAATAAAGGTGTATATTAAGTACCTCTTGCCTGTTAGAAATTTCACATATATGTGTTTAAGAAAGCTAAAATACATACCATCTATTAAATTTACAAAATATAGTTCTGTAATAACAAGCCTCCCTAGCCTTATGAGCTGCAATGTTAACAAAATACTGTAAACAAGAAAATATTGAAATAGGTATAGAGGACTCACCCGCATATTACCGACCGTGGATGAGATGTGCCCTCTCAGTCTGTCAATAACTGGCAAAAGAAGCTGATTGGATGTAATCTGACCATGGTGAATCCTGAAAGACAAACAAGTGGTTGATAATTTGTCACATGACCTTTCTAACAGTTCAGATTGAAGTTAAAGAATATGGTACACTTTTGCCTAAGTGTCACTGTTTATTATAATAATACTGATTATGATTTTGGTGACAATAATGATCCAGGCAAAATAAAAATTTATTACATAGATCCTCACCTTAGCAGAAACAGAAGGCATCTACAGGACAACTCGGATTCCCACTCAAGGGATAGAAAAACATCAAGGAGTTTAAGTAAATCCAGAACATAGTGAAATGGTAACACTAATAATGCCTCCTCCAGTTCACTATAAAATTAAAATACAATAGTGTATATAAAATATGTGGTAAACAATAGTCTTATTATTGAATGAGAATTACCAAATTATTAACAGTAAAATAAATAATAATCATACATAATTTAGCTTAAACTTTATTAGTATTGTAATAGTGTTAAACATTATAATACTGTTGGTAGATGATATAAATCACCCAACAGATTTAGAGAAATGTACAGTATGTAGACATTCTCCAGGCTGAGTACAGATATGCCTAACAAAAGGAACTAAAAACAAAAGGTGTTGGATATTCAGGTTTGGTTAAATAAATATTGAAATGATTAACACACCTTGATCGTACTTTCTTGATAACATCTAAAACATATCGAGTAGGCTGAAACAAATGAAACATATTTAGATCAACATGTTAACAACGACGACAACTAGAAAAACTGAATCAAAAACTATATCCTCCCTAATAAAATATGGTTCAGAGTTTATTCATGTTTACTTACAGAAACGTTTCCAAGAGCCTCAAGAATCGGATGCATCTTAGGTGCCGGAAGCTAGGAAAGACAAAGAGGAAGATATGTAGATATTAGATTTGTATATTTTATAAGCTTTTATCATCCGTTATCTTCACAAACTATGAAATATAAAATCATATCAGACAAAATGATTGCTTACAGGTTTTTTAAGTGCTTTACTCTTTTCTTGGTGTTCTATAACCTTCGCCCTTTCTCCCTTGAACAGTTCAATCGCTTCCATTATTCTCTCTGCTGCCCTCACAGTTTCCACTGTTTTTTTACCAGCTAGAACTGCTTCCACTGCTGTCTCCCCAGCAACCTGTGTTAAAAATATATATACAATATGCAATGTACAAACTGAATTGGTGTAATATTTCCCTAAATTTATTTAGTGTAGCTTACATTAAAAGGTTTTGTATAATAGTGTTCAATTTGTTGATTCCCTGATCTTATAAATTAACATTATAATGCTCCATGCCATCTCAACACACACTCTCCCTCCCCACCCTCAATCACTTAATAAATAATAATAATATTTATTTATATAGGGCATATTCAGATTTAAAAATAGGCAACATTATACAATGAAATTACAGTAGAACCTCGATTTTACGTACGGTACGGGACCGGAGGACGTACGTAAATCGGGGGATTCGTAAAATAGAGGTTAAGTTAAATTTGTGGTAACCTTTGACCTAATATGTACGTAACGCTCAATAAACGTATGTAGGAACCAACGATGTTACCTAGGCTAGACTAGCCTCTAGGCCTACACATAGCCTCCAGGCCTACGAATAAAACCATGTGTTTAGTGTCTTTATTCATCACTTTACGATGTCATAATAAAGTGTTCAAATAAAACCATGTGTCTAGTGTATTAATTCATCACTTTATATCTTTTATTTAACTAAAGAACATGAAAATATTGTAAGATTACCTATACGACAAAGGTAAAACTTGGGAATTCCCATTCATGCCTATTCTAAACAACAGAGTTCTGGTGTTGTCTGGGCCAGTTGAGACAAACTAAAATCATGTGCGCTGCACTGGGCGAGCCAACCAATTAGCGTTCGTGTACGTGAAACAGCAAACACGAGCTATGCACTGGGCGAGCCAACCAAATTAGCGTTCTTGTACGAAACTATGTCTACTCAGCTTCGTGTAGAAAATTCGACAAGACGAGTTTTTCCATGGTTTGCCACACGAAGCTAAGGAGGAAAACAATTATTTTGAGCACCATCGGTAGTTGTTCATCTCACTCAGTTCATGTGGTTTTAGATTATAACAACCCAATATTAGACTCAATCAACGTCGCTGTTTAATGAAAATACGTTGCATTATGGTTTGTTTATTGTTATAATTTATTGTTATAGTCTTTTTACTTATGGTTGCTCTGAAAATGGCCATTTGTTTTGAATATTTTCAGGGTATTTGATGACGTCATCGTCGATACGAGGCGTACGTAAAACCGAGGGTTCGTATAACTGGGGTACGTAAAAACGAGGTTCTACTGTACAAAGATACATACAAAAAGACTACAAAAATATACTTATTATTAATTACATCATTAAATTACATCATTAAAATAATTGAAAATTCACTATCAACAACATAAATATTGATTACCTTACAAACTAACTATTATTTACAATTATGTATTTGTCTCATAAAACTTGATAATGTGGACATATCTTTAGAGAAAACTGTAATAATTGACACATACATTATTGATCAGATATTTTAAAAGTAACTTGCCAGTTAAAATCTAATATTTTAAATTTCATGATCATTATGATGGTTGAGTGACATACCTTATTTGGCATCATGGCTAATGACCACACTGTGTTACCATGAGCCTTAACCTGCTCCAACAGCGCACCTGATGCGATGTCAAACAGTTGCAAGTTCCCTTGTTTAGTTCCCACAATGCAATGCCTGTCACCAGGTACAAACATCGAGCACAGTGCATAGTCACATTTCATAGTTCGAATACATTTTAATGTGTCCCTACAAGAAATATACACACATTGTTACAGCATGTAGACTCTTTGGTTTTGATTGGTGTAAATATAAGAAACAAAATAAATGATACACAAATAAAAGATAAAATACATTTTCTGCATCTAAACACAATAACTATAATTATTGTAATAATAATGCAACTTAAAACCTGTCTCTTATACACATCTGTGTGTCTGCGAAGAACACCTTCACCGTGCTGTCCAACAAGGCAACCGCAATGAATTTTTGGTCTGGGGAATACTTCACACACAGGACATCCTCTGACATTTCCAGTGTCCGTTTGTGTTCCATGGAAAGTCGCTTGCTACTGTGAGAAAAGAGTCAAATGGAAGTGGAAATTACAACATCCTGTTCCAATTTATATTTGTGGGTATACATTGACTTGTGAATGGGGATTTCTGTTTTTAATATCTGCGAATGAGTTTAATGGTTTCCTCTCATGTGTAAATGTCTACATGTACTGTATTGCACCATAGTTATGAAATCTTACAACAGTATCCACAGCAGTATCAAACATGACGATTCTCACAAGGGAAATGTTCAGTATTATGAGAGCTATTTATGTATTTAAAGTTATTTGAGTTCCTGGCTATTTTTCTTGGTGGTATTATAAGACAATAAGATAATTTTTGTCCAATGAAATCCTAAAACAAAATTGAAATTTGCTTTTCTTTGGCGAAACCTACAAGTCATAATACAAGACCTCAGTGTGTGGGTAGTGTATAGAAGGCGCTTTTGGAGAATTTCCAAGTGTTACTATTGTATGTGAATGAAATGTTAAAGACTTGCATGTTATTCACTGTGCTACTGTATACTTACGTTTGATTCGTTTCTGAATCAACTAATTCAAAATCCCAGAACTTGATTGTCTTATCTGTTCCTCCTGATATAAATCCTCGCTAAGAATATAAAATATATCAACAATAAAATCAATGAAAATAATAACATTAAAGGTTTTAAACATATATTATAAAAAAATACATAAAACTATCATAAACTATGCCATTTGACAATGGCAGTATAAGTAATACAAAACAAAGCTTTTATGTGACAAATTTGTGTGATGTGCCCATATATGGGTATGATGATGTCATATTACACCCAAATATGGTTATATCATATTTATTTGTCTCATAAAATTTGATAATGTGGACATATCTTTAGAGAAAACTGTAATAATTGATTATTGATAAGATATTTTAAAAATAACTTGCCAGTTAAAATCTAATATTTTAAATTTCATGATCATTATGATGGTTGAGTGACATACCTTATTTGGCATCATGGCTAATGACCACACTGTGTTACCATGAGCCTTAACCTGCTCCAACAGCGCACCTGATGCGATGTCAAACAGTTGCAAGTTCCCTTGTTTAGTTCCCACAATGCAATGCCTGTCACCAGGTACAAACATCGAGCACAGTGCATAGTCACATTTCATAGTTCGAATACATTTTAATGTGTCCCTACAAGAAATATACACACATTGTTACAGCATGTAGACTCTTTGGTTTTGATTGGTGTAAATATAAGAAACAAAATAAATGATACACAAATAAAAGATAAAATACATTTTCTGCATCTAAACACAATAACTATAATTATTGTAATAATAATGCAACTTAAAACAAACTTTCAAAAGCTAAGGAAGGTCTCTATGTAGGTTACATAAATTAAAATATAATTTTTAAAATTTTCTTAAAAAAAACTCTAATTGACATTTGCAATAAAGCAGAAAATATTGTGTCCACAGCTCAGCTCACATTCTAAACCTAATATTCAATAGATAGAATGATTTATTTATCAACATTTTGTTTTATAGTTATTTATATGTGTCTATAATGTCATTGGTTATTCAAAGACCATATACCTATTCCATAGTTTAACACTGTCCCCAGAAGCCGAGAGTATTGCTGTGTTGTCGGAGCTGAAACAGACCGTTCTCACATCACTACGGTGCCCATCCCATAGAAGCTGTTTGGTATCATGACTTGAAGAACTGGTGTCCGTGAGACCAATCCGATGGACCTCAATGGAGTTATTATGGAGGAGTGTTACCACGGATACCATGTCGTCTTTACCAACCAGTACATCAAAGGACCTAATATTCACAAATTTTAAATGAAACTGAACTGAAAAATCACAGAGAAACATTAATGGTTATCAATTATCTAATTGAAAGAATATAAATATGAGATAAAATATATTTTATTTTGTTCTAGCAATACCTAATTTTTGATGATGTTACAATTTTGGAATGATGTTTAAATTCATCTTCAGCTCCTCGGACCAATTCAACTTCTTGTATGTCTTCCTCATTAGCTCCTGCCTCCTCTTGTTCCCTGGTGAAAAGAAAATAATGATATACATTGGTTTAGCAATTAAAGATTACTAATTACAGTATATTCTATGTAACAGTTGCATTTATTTTGATGTTATAGCCTGAGATATCTATCCCAAAATTTGTATTGCAATAAATTTGCCTTCGAAAATCAATCTATCAAATTTGTCAAAACTGTTTCAGTGATACATCTATTGTGAATTCTCCAATGTACATTGGGGCAAGCTGAGTGGCCGAGCGGAAAGCAGGAGCGCTGCTAACTACAGCCTTAACAGTCCCTCCAAGTTTGCTACTAAATTTGAAAATTTCAATGCATATAAATGTTAGATATTGAAATAAGCACTACTAGCTTATCTAATCTGAGAATGTGTCCCCTCTTTCTGGATCCATTCCTGCATTTATGAGGATAATTTGGTTGCTGTTAAATGCTTTTAGGATTGTTAGAAATTGTCTTGTTATCCCATTAGGATAAGCATTACAAAATGAATACACAACAGTCAAATTTATATCACCTCTGTTGTCTCCGCCTTGCACGTTTTTGTCTCTTCTTGAATCTTTTTTTTGCCTCTTCTTCAGAACAGATTAAGAACAGTTCAACATTAGATTCTGGTCCCTGCAAAGACGAAAATATTATTACATGCTAGCATTTATAAATGCTTCAGATATAAATTAAGAATATAAAGCACTAATACATGGTGTCACAGCCCTGCATTCACCACAATCCAATGGTAGGGCGAGACTTTATCTTCAAAAACATGTAAAAAAGGTACAAAAATAAATATACGTAATCAATTAGCATTATGAAACTAACATATAAGTGTCTTCACAAGCAGTAAGTTAAATAGAATCAGGCAAACCAGAGAAATGTGCTACTCTGTATATATTGAGTGTGAGTATAGAATTGCAAGGTCCAACTGCCCTGATTTTGTATGCACGCAATGAAACGTTAAAGAAAGTACTGCTAGAAAATAGGAGGCGCCCTATTTGAAATTAAATACAGTTCACTCGAAACTCGCCTTTTAAGGACACACTCCATCGTGGCAGTACTTTATGAAATAGGATTCGGACCTCTTGCAGTTCCATACTCTTTGGTGTAAATACTAAACAAAAAGGGTGTTTATATTATATGACTTTATCTAAGTCTACCTACATGCTTACGATTAAAAACCAAAACTTACATGACAACATAGTAATCTTCCGGTTCCATCTGTTCCCATGGAGACAACTCTTTCCCTGCTTAATCTCATCAGTGAACCAGCTTTCACACAGGTCAACAAACTCTATGACGAAGATAAACAAAATAATTGCAATACTAAAGGCGCATATTATTAACCCTGGTCATTTCATAGCTCAGCTCAAGCGCTGAACCATGAAGCTGATTGGTTTCTCACTTCAATTGTTTTCAGTGAAAAAATAAAGCCATGGTCACTAGAGCATTAAATTGATATCTTTTCCCCTTTCTAAAATTTACATTTACACATTTGTAATATGGATATTTATATATTGAATAAAGCAAATGAATGAATGATTATCAAGTATCTTTAGACTTACAACTTTATCATCATCATCCTCTTCATCATCTTCTTCTTCATGTCTTTGCTTCTTTGATTCAGGAACCTATTAAACAGATTGTATTTCTTTAGATACATTTCATTTTAATTCATTGATCTCCTACTCATATAAATCTTGATTGAAGAGAGACAAATGTAAAAGGAATGTGGACAGCATCTGAATCAAACTTACGACCTATCAACCGAAAGCCTAAATCCTTAAGCTTTGTCGCACTATCAAATTTTATGTGAAAAATGTGTGTGATATGCCCATATTTGGGTGTTATATGACATCATCATGCCCATATATGGGCATATAACAGTTATTTGTCCCATAAATAGTGTGGGCAAAGCTTTTAGTTTAATATTCCTATCAATATAATACTTGAAATTAAAATACCACTCTCTCAAAATCACTTTTATTACAATGTAGATGAACAATATTGGCAGTACCTCATCCGAATCCTGCTTGAAATTCAAATACCACACTCTAAGCTCACTATCACCACAACCTGTTATTAACTTGCTGTCATTTAAGCAGATAAAATCCCAAACCTGCAAGTAACAAATATTTGGTATTATTATTTTGAAATTATTATAGATAATAATATAGAAAACATATTGATTTTTAGCTACATGGATCAAGAATGCTAAAATAATGACTGTCCGAATCTGAAAAACTTTATTGTCTTCACAAAAGAAATTGTCTTGCTGTAGCCATTCCTAGCCCCCATCCCACCTCATAGCGCTGCCACTGATTTTCTATGTGAATGTTACAATTTGCTGATTCATAGACATTTTATAAAATCTTTATAAAATTGATTATCAGCCAATTTAAGGGTCTATGCAAGAGAATAGAAGGTATTATTTGAACTGTCTATTAATTGACCTGAAACTGTTTTTATCGTTCAAATTTTTTTATTATAAATGAAATAACTCACATAAATATAAAAATTCGGTTGTTCAAATATGGAAAATGACTTTTCAATATATTTAGCTCATAACAGACAGTGCGTTTTTAATAAAACTAATCCAAAATACAGGTACTTCTGAACTTACCTCTGTCCGATGACCAACTAACGTCTTAAAACAATGCTGCGTATCTAAATCCCAGAACTTAATAAAGGTGTCTTTAGAGCTAAATAAAAGGAAATATTAGATATATTGAGAATAAAACAATTTTAGTAAATAAATCAGTAAAAGATAAAAAACAAAATTAATTTACCTTGTGATGAGAATATTCTTTGTCTTCATAAACTGACACTTTGTTACGATACCTTTGTGACCTTTCAACCGATACAATCCAGATTCATTTACAATATCCCATAGAATAACATCTGTGTCCTAAAATATAACAATAATTGAACATTCAATTCCTTCCATTCCATTAAATTTAATTTATTGCCTCGGATACCATCTGGGCCAATATTCTTGAAATAAAGCATAGAAAACACAATACAAAATCAACCGATAACAACTGCACACCCTACACCCATAAACAACTCACATCAATTTAATTATTAAATTTTTATCATTAACAACGTATCTTATTATAGAAATGCCAATTACCAACAATAAAGCCATAGCTAACCTTTGACCCAGATGCTAAAGTTAAACCAGCACCATCAAATGCCAGGGTTGACACAGATGATTTATGTCCATTGAATGTTATACTTGGATCTCCACTGGAAAGGTCAAACAATTGTATGGAACCATCCGCATAGCCAACTGCTAGTAGCTTACTCTTAGGGCACCCTGCAAGTGACGTCACTTCATGCTTACCCCCTTCAAGTACCAATACCTTTATTGTAAACCAAATACACAAAATTAGGTAAACACATAATTTAGTAATACTGTATATAAATAAATTAATCACATTTTATGATTAATATAAATTGTTATATTCAATTTTTATTGGTGAGTGATAATATTTGATGATGATAATGATGACACTGAATAATAATATTTAATAATAATGGTATTTGATATGATTATATTTAATAAAATAATATTTCATAATGGCCGTATTTGATGTTAGTATATGATAACATTTAATGTCATGATGATATTTTCTGTTTTTATTGATATTTATTGATACATATGATGATGATGATGATGATAATGATGATGACAGTATTTGGTGGTGATGATGGAAATGATGGTATTTGAATATTATGTAAATTGATGATAATGATATTTAATAATGTTGATGTCTGAGAATATTTGATGATTATGATGCTGTCGATGATGACATAATTCAAAATATTTCATATTTTTCCAAAGGCATCTTGGTGGAGGAAAAAAAGTAAGTTTTTGTAGTACCGTAGGTGCAGTTAAGAAAGTATAAGAGGGCACCTTATATGGCCACGATGATGTCATATCCCATCTATATAGGAATTATGTCATAACACATCTACATATGGGCATGATAATATCATATACAGTTTATCTTTCTATTCAGCGTTTTTACTATAACCATGGGCGGTATAAATGTCAACTCGGCCCAAGTCTCGGCACAGTATTTTGAGGCCTATAGTATTTACGAACCCAGTTAAACTTATTTATGTCAACGTGCTAATTATCACATTTTAAAACAATAATTAAAAATGTATTATACTAGGGGGCCGCAAAACTGTGGTCATGTTGACTTTGTGCCGAGTTGACTCGAATACGATCATGCTTACACAACGTAAGCATGATCGAATACGATCATGCTTACGTTGTGTGGTGCGTTGACAGTCAACTCGCCTCTAGAAAATTCGCCGCCTTGAAAACTCCCCATACTAAATCATCTCACCAAATAAAAAAATTAAGAGTTGACGTTGAAACTTTATTTTAAAAAACCTAAACCATAAACCACCACTATAGACACTTTTTGACAAAAATGAAAAATTACGACTTTGTTACCCAATGAGAAGTGTTCTATTAAATATAGACAATATATTATTTGTTATATTTTCATTATTCATTATTTTCACTTGACTCGCATAAATAATTTTGTTCGAAGAACATTTATATACAATTGTACTTCGCAGCACTTCACTTGCAATTTGCAATTTCTAGTTATAGTAGTAGACTACTTTATTAGGTAGGCTAGACAAAGTTTACGCCTATCCTATATACGCCTAGGTAACTAGGAGCACACCAAAAATGATGATATCCTTCAATTGACTTCTTCAATCAAATATAGTTTCACATTAATAAATAAGGCGCTAATGAATTTTAGTACTCCTCCCTTACTTAGGCCTAACCCTAACTTTAACAACATAGCAAGACTGCAGTTGAGGTTAAGGTTAGGGTGGAGTGCTAATGTGAACAGCGCCGGCTAGGCTACTAGGGGTAGGCCTACTTAGGCCTAGGCTATATAGAGCCTAGAGCCTAAAATGAGGTCTAGGAGGCCTACCTACCCATGAGGCCCTAGTAGGTAGGCCTAGTGACTAGTCAATCCCCCGGGCTAATCCTTAATAGATTAACAGTTCGCCTACTAATTTAATTACCAACGCTATAATTATTATTAAATCAAATTTATCAATAGAGTATCATAATTTATATGTCTTCATACACTTACCCTACAAAAGCCAACGAAAATCCCACTTTCTCATGAAAGCAGCAGATTCTATCCTTCAGAGTTAGCACATGGGATTTTTATTTTCTGAATGTAACTTTGCGTAATTTACGTCAAATCTTTACAATTTGGGTCAACCTATAGTAATTCGTGTCACCTTTTAAGCTTATTCGCGTCATATGCAGATGTGATTCGCGTCAACATTCGCATCATAAACGTGTTATGCTGTGGCGAACACATATGCTCGCGACAGCAGCTGACGTCTGCAGAAAGTCTATACCTGGGGATTTCATATCCGCCGCCGAGATAGAGCTGAGAGTCGATGATCCCCTCGGCGCCCCGGCACGCGAGTCTAGTTTACCGGTACACAAGCTACTCTTCTTTTCTTTAAAAAAGTCAGGTAAGATCTGCGCAATAAAGTACATTTATATACTGTATATATGCCAATATCTTGCATTATAATGTTCGATGTGCTTAGAATACCATATGAATGAGATTGAGATAAGTTTTAATGTAACTTTTTGAGAGTAAAAAGATTCACAGGCCAACCCCGCTTTTGTTGACTGTTTGCAAGCAATGTATACAATTGTTCGGGCGGTATAGGCGAGGGTGGTTTGTATTAATATTAGGCCCTAGGCCTAGAGAAGAATGGGTCCAGTCTGTTTTTTGCGAATGCCGGTCGTTCCTAAACGAACCCGGTTTGGAGGCCAATACAACTCCCTGGCCGAACGAATGTTGTAGAAACTGCCCTTTTTTGTTTGATACATTTGTCATAAGGGCACATAGAAAAAATTTTAGTTACCCAGATATCACTCTTTGAAAAAAAACAAAAATTATGAGGGAGGCCGTTTTTTTTTTTATCGGAACAGTAGATTATTTCGCTTTTGTTTTTATCTATGAGGGAGGGACTGTTTATATTTGGCCTGTAATAGTAAATATTGTATAAAAACTGGTTTAATTTTATAGTTTTTTAAAGAAAATGTATTTGAAGTCACACAATTGCATAGTTATTTTCATGCTGTTGAAATAATTTTTTTTTATTCCCGCATCAATATTTTCCGAATTTTTGGTGCGGGCGGGAGTGATAATCTAATAAATTTTTCTATTTGACCTAAACATAATATAACTTAAACTACTACTTAAACTACTACTGCATATAAATGCCCGGGATGCACCATTAGAGGTACTTCAGTACTGGTTCTTGGTAAATATAACAACTCCCTGGTAAATCCAAAGCAAGGTATAATTATGTCTGTATTTGATCAGTGTTGCATTCCAACTAGGTTCCAACTAGGGCTGGCCTGCCGTCGCCCAGTCCTTCTAGGTACATGAGGCCTCCTGCAATCAGCTTCTAAAGATGTGATCACGTGGCCTTGAATAAATAACACTAAATTCATTTTTTTGTGTTGAGTGAGTCAGCCAATTAGTCAATCTTTCCATTTATATGGTGCCATTCCAGCAGTTTTTGCTCTTGGTGCAATGTATATGGTACTGTAGTTAATAGTAAATGGAGTGACACCAACCTTGAGAGGTATGGTCCCTTCACAAGGTTAAATATATAGAAAAACTTGAAAAGATTCAACTCCATGTTACTACAGGGATGATTCTTGATTGTGATAATTGTAAGGAATGTCATATGAGATGCGACTGGAGGTGACTAAACTCCAATCACTCAAATCGCTTAGGGAAAGCAAGGATCTTGTCACATTCACAAAAGCTAAATTCCAGCAAATTCCTATAAATTTAACTATATACAGTATCTAAGCCAGTTGACAGTTATCCGTTCATCTCCTTGTTTCTGGTAATTATGCACACTGGTAATGGTATCATCAAAAGTGAGTCTACAGATATAGTTTTTTCCGCCGAGCGGTTGTCATGTGGGGTTAGCCTACTTCTTTAATAAAACGTTCAGAATCACTCGGTGAATCTATGAGATTGTTAAGCGCTTCAATAAATAATAAAAATAAATTTTTAACAAAAATTTTAAAAAGTACGAAAGTGTCAGTGGCCACTGTTGCACTGTTGCGTCGTGGCTCAATATCAGTTTTATCCACTGTCCGAATGTGTGGGCATGTGGCTTGATGGAGTAGGCCTGCAGATATTGAGTTGCATCCACAAACATGAGGAAACTTCCCCATTTACCAAATTTTCAATTTCTGAACAAGGTTTTGCGATCTCTTCTTATTTCTATGGTTGGATTCGGACGTAAACTCAATTACATGGGTAATCTACTAATAACCTCAGGGCTAAATGTGACGGTCGTTCGGACGAGTAAAATAACAATCCATTTACCCATTAATTTGACGGAAGTTACGTATTTTACAAGCTTCTGCAAGGTCAGAATTCTGAATAGTTCGTGACTATTAGCAATGTTTTCGCGGCAATTTCAATACTTCATACACAAATTTACGCTATTTCTGCTTACTTTTTATCTATTTTCTCTATGTTTTTATACAATTTACTCATTTCCTTGTGATTGTCCTTACAAATTGACACCGAATTATGATTAACCTAGCGAAACTAACTATCATGACAACTTTCGACGACGGATTTGATCTAAACCAAGCTTTTCGACGAAGAAAGTACAGCAACGACGAAGACAACGACCAGCGTGGAAAGAAAGCCTGGGCAACAATGCGAAGAATCATGCAGCATGGTTGCGAGCTTCTTTTTGTCCAGTTCAATCTGACCCGGCGTTGTTAACAAAATTATCTGAAGGGTCAACTTGTGACCTGGGCCTTGTTACGGGTGATTAATTACGCCTTGAGGCATGGTGTAATTGAAACATCCAGTAAAAAAGTTGGGTTTTTGGGCCAGATGTTTTTCGAATTTTCTATACCTTGGGGCATTATTTAATTGCCGCACGCGACCGCTCAGCTGGTGGTACCCAGTTAAATTTTACTCGTCCGAATCGGTCCTATTACTTCTTCAGGGAATTTTGTAACAAGATTAACATTGAAGCTAATTAGTTGTGAGTAGTTTATAAAAAGACTAGCACAATTGTCAAAAACTATGTTGAAACTTAACATAAGTCATTAATTTGTGAAATTCAAAATCATATTTATTATGATTTTTATTTTAAATTACAACTAAGCTAATAAAAATGCATAGCTTTTGAACAACAGGTTTTTAAAATTTTCCATCCTAGTTTTTAAATACTATACTGGTAATTTATTGACAAATAGCAATGCCTGCTGTGATAATGACTCTTAAGTAGAGGTACAGTATTCTTCTTTGATGTTTAATTGGATTATTGGAATAAGACTGGCAAAACCTGGTTTGCCAACCTTCCCCTTTAAAGGGTCTGCTGGTAAATGCATGGAGAAATTGGTTTTCTAATTCTAAATTCCTCCATGGTAAATGGGACAGTAACAGCATGGGTCGAATTGTGACTGGTGTAGCAGGGGCCACTGGCCAAATTAAGAAAAGAAAGAAAAAACATAAATAAAAATAAATATTTAAAAAAAGAAGCAAAAACGATAATTTAAATATAATAATAGTAAATAAATAAATAATTATACTGGTGTTTGCTGGAAGGTGTGCACTGCGAAACCTTTCACTGTGCCCTGTATGATTTTTGCTGCTTTTATATACATTTATAATTTTTTTTTCCCCAATTTTTGTATTATTCAAAAAATTGTATTATTATATTTATATACGAGTTTATGTGTATTTTTGATGTTATTTGATGTTTTTTGTTCAGGGCATTTTCCATTAGTTTGGACTTTGAGTCTGTGGAACCTGTTCTTTTGCATCTGTTTTCTTTTGTGATGTTTCTTTTTGTGAGTCACAATAAATTGTAATTTCGAATGGATGTATTGAACTGTACAGGGTTATACCATGCATTAACATTCAATTTAACTCATACCCAATAGCGCTGGTATGCAAGGTTCAGTGTAAATGCCACTTTCCTTTGTTGTTTGGCAAGTTAGAGCTAAGAATAGATATTACAAGATCTCTTTAACAAGGTTCATATGGGATTATAGCCAGATGAAGTAGCTGATCTGCTTGCCAAGTTAATTGGATTAAATCCACTAATCGCGTTCGACGTTAAGGTTTAGAGCGAGATATAAACTACCAGAAATTCGGAAAACACATCATTAGACAGGAAGTACAATCGCATGGTTGGTAATTACTGTTCATTTTCGCGCGACTAGTTTATGCTAGATCGAGACTATAGGCGTAAGCTAGGCCTAGGTCTTGGCGGCTGATTAGACTGGCCGAGGAGTCCAGCTGGAGGGTTTACACTGGGTTTTTCCCCAAGTATTTCGTTTAGTGCGTGGTAGTGTGAGCATGCCGATTTCGGGTCATCCCTTATTACATTGGCCGACACCTTGCCCGTCCCACGAATAAAAACGTCTCTCACAGCCTTGTGGTCTGCTCTTAGATTTTTCAACTTTGTCACAACAATTGCCGATGTTATGCTATTGTGGCCTAAGTCCCGCATTCTCTCTGCTGTCCTTTCGTGGACACCAGCCTACTGACAATACAATTTATCTTCAACTTTTTCGGCGATTTCTGGCTCCCTCCAGATATCTATTAAATCGCATTCCTGCGCATACGTCCAGAGATGCCGTTTCTTTTTGGCAATTATTCTATTAAAAATTTTAGATACGCATGAAGTTAAAGAGATACCCCGGTAGTTATTAAGGTCCTTTCGGTCTCCTTTTTTATGAATAGGTATGATAATACTAGTACTCCAATCACTTGGAATCTGTTCTAAGCTTATGATTTTTGTGAACAATTGTAACAGCGATTTAATAAGACAATTGCCTCCGTTTTTAAGTAATTCGTTTGTTATGGAATCTAATCCAGGGGCTTTATTATTCTTTGCATGTGAAATTGCTTCTTCCAGAATGTCAAAATCGATCAGAATGTTATATAGATAATTTCCATCATTATCATCTGTACATGGAAATATATCTTTTGATGTTTAATTGGATTATTGGGATAAGACTGGCAAAACCTGGTCTGCTGGTAAATGCATGGAGGAATTGGTTTTCTAATTCTAAATTCCTCCATGGTAAATGGGACAGTAACAGCATGGGTCGAATTGTGACTGGTGTAGCAGGGGCCACTGGCCAAATTAAGAAAAGAAAAACAAAAAAAAAGTAAATAAAAATAAATATTTAAAAAAAGAAGCAAAAACGATAATTTAAATATAATAATAGTAAATTAATAAATAAATTATTATACTGGTGTTTGCTGGAAGGTGTGCACTGCGAAACCTTTCACTGTGCCCTGTATGATTTTTGCTGCTTTTATATACATTTATATATTTTTTCTTTCCAAATTTTTGTTTTATTCAAAAAATTGTATTATTGTATTTATATATGAGTTTATGTGTATTTTTGATGTTATTTGATGTTTTTCGTTCAGGGCGTTTTCCATTAGTTTGGACTTTGAGTCTGTGGAACCTGTCCTTTTGCATCTGATTCTTTTTGTGTCTGATGTTTTGTGATGTTTCTTTTTGTGAGTCGCAATAAATTGTAATTTTGAATGGATGTATTGAACTGTACAGGGTTATACCATGCATTAAAATTCAATTTAACTCATACCCAATAGTGCTGGTATGCAAGGTTCAGTGTAAATGCCACTTTCCTTTGTTGTTTGGCAAGTTAGACCTAAGAATAGATATTACAAGATCTCTTTGTGACTTGCGCATTTGTAGCTCTGACAAAAATATATCTTTGGTAATTTAAAGTTTTGCTCTCTGAATCTAAATCATAATTTTATATGTTTCTCCTAAAGCATACAGAATCCAAAATAAATAATTCAAGAAATATTTATGGAGTGAGGAACTCTGTAGTTTTTGGGTTTTTTTTCTCTCTAGTGGAGCTACAGCATAGCTTGGTGGTTTAGATGTTTGCCTTTCAATCAAAGTCTTTGTTATCTGTTAATTAACTCCATGATCAATAGTCACCAAAATCCTTATACATATATTTTGTTAGTGTAGGATTTGCCAAGATGCCTTCCGTATTATCAACGCTACCAAAAGAATATGGATATGTTATAGCAACTGGAACAATTAGTTATTTCATGCTGCAGTACATGGTCTTGAAAGTAGTTATGGCAAGAAAAAAGTACAAAATCAAAGTAAGACACAAATTATTTTTAGAATATCACTAATGAGACACTGACTGTAAAGGACATACCTTATTTTTCTGGCTTGGTAAAAATAAGCCAAAAAATGTTGTGATTTGTAATTCGGTTACTGCGTAATTGCCCACATAATTATTAATATTAATAATAGGTTCTATATTATAAGATAAGTAATATGTCTTTCAATTTTTTTTTTTTATCTTTTAACAGTACCCCATCATGTACAGTGAAGATCAACCTGTATTCAACTGTGTGCAAAGAGTACACGCAAATACGTAAGCTACAGTACTGTTAAATCCTACCCAGACTATCAAATTTATTTGACAAAAACGTGACATGCCCAAATATGGTCATGTCATCACATCATGACCATATATAGGCACATCATGACTATGAGGCATGTTGTGGCAAAATAGCTAAGTACCAACAATTGAAATTAAAGTTATTGGTATTTTCAGATACCTGAGTATGTGATATTTAAAATGAGGGGTCATTCATTGAAATGGGACATTTCAAGCCTAAGTTATTGGAAAGTGAAATTACAGTACTCTTAGAGTCAAGATAAACATGATTTTGAGTAATTGCCTTTCAAATTTATTTGTGCATACATTGTTTAATAGAATGAACTATCAAAATAACATTAAATAAACAATTCCAGAACTAATTCGTTGGGACATGATTAATAAGACATTAAACTGTTGATCTATAGTGAAAGACAAAATTGGATTTTTAGGCAATTTTTTGAGCTCCTATGTTTATAGTTCATTTACTCAATACTGGACTGTCTGACAACTTAAAGTCAGGCTCCGGAGGAAAAAAATTTTTTGATATGTTGTAGAACTGATTTTTCTAAGACAGAAAAAAGTTGTTTGACGAAAAACTGGGGAACGGTGAATGAGATACAGATTTTTAAATATTTAAAAACTGGGGGAATAAGGTGTAAAAATGGGCAGTTACGCCCCTTTTCCCCCCAGTTTTTAAATATTAAAAAATCTGTATCTCATTCACCGTTCCCCAGTTTTTTCGTCAAACAACTTTTTTCTGTCTTAGAAAAATCAGTTCTACAATATATCAAAAAATTTTTTCCCTCCGGAGCCTGACTTTAACTATTCGCCACGACATGCCTCATATATCGGCATACAGCAGTTTTTTGTCAAAGAAAAGCTGACAGTGACATGTGAACAAAACTTTACTAATCAATTATGTAAAGTTTCATTGAAAAGCAGTCCTCTAAGTACCATCAGTTTATATGGTATTTGATTGGTCGAAATTACATTGCCCTTGATTCTGTTTCCGCCAGGTATATAGTCCATTTTCATAATGTTGTTTTACAGATAAGATGGCTTGATATACTGATAGCAAGCCTATAGCCATAAGATTACTAAAATAATTTGAAATCGGGTATTTTATCAAAGGTCAAGACTGCTTGCCTTTATTTATCTGTGGACCAAATAGTCTCAGCTAAAGAAAAATAAGTACATAAATTTATCCCCTCCTGACACTATTTTTAAGTTAAGTTTTGTGGTAGGTTCAGATCCAAAATAATTATTAGAAAAAATGAAATTTTTCATTTATCTATGGTAGAAAATATGTACAGAATTGTTGGCTAGCCGGAAACTTTGTAACCGTTTTAAATACCTTTCTTTCATTAAATTATTGAGCAACTAACTTAGTTGTTTTATTGTTTGAGATTATTAGCTCTGTACAGAGACCAGATAACATTTAACATTGCATATATGCATTTACTGTGGTTTTTTTTGCTTATTTTCAGATTGGAAAGTTATCCATCATTCTTATTCTTTCTTCTGACTAGTGGTCTTCGTTACCCAGTATGTATTGTTATATTATTCAATTACATTAATGACAGTGGAGTGGAGTTGAATAGTGGTTGAGATGCAGGGTCCTGGGTTCAATTCCTGTAACAGCAGGAATTTTTCTCGCAACTAAAAACAACTGTATTCCCTAAAAACCTTTGCTGATAAAAGCATTGTGATATTTCTTTTATTTAATACGGACCCTGAGGCCAGCCTACCTTCTAGGATATGCTGGAAGGTTCACCCTCTATAAATGTAGTTTTAAAAATATATATGACATGTATTTTTTTATTATATAATATCTAATATTTTGTAGCTTCCCTATTGTCACAAAACATATCTTTTCAAAAATTAGCATTATCATTCTTTACATTATTACTCAAAATGCAACCATTTATCTAAAATTAAAGAAATTAATATTATTAATTAATTAGGATTTATATTTTTTATTCTGCCTTTGACTGGATACAATAAATTTTTCAGTACAAAAGTGCAATGGTCAAGTTTAAAATATATTTGGGACCAATAAAAGAGTTACCTTAATAAAGGTGTCTAGCCGTACAGGTACAGCACATATAAAGTCCTTGGTTAAAATATTGACCTTGCTTTGTGGCCAAAATATTGCTTCAGTTTTTACTGTGTTGTGTTTTTCAACAAAATATGTAATTTTGATTCTGTTTAGCATTTGAGAATTCTACATCCACAATTGTTTAAAAAATTAGTGAATAAGTGATTTTACAAAATCTTTGAAAGCTTTCTATTTATTTTAATTCTTCACTCAGCGAGCTGCTACCGGCTGCGGAATGCTATGGATTCTTAGCCGTTTCCTGTATTCAATTGGATACTCTACTGGAAGTAAGTTTTTAAAATGGTGTTTTTAGCTAAACCATGTTAAATTATGGATGCAATTTGAATAAGAGCCAGAAAGTTGGGATGTTTCAAACAATCACATTCATTGCAGTTCTCAAAACTCTACAGAGTACAACACAAATTATAACATTTGTTAATAAATTGAAAATTTTAATATAAATGTATAAAAATATTTATAAATACAGTACATCATATACCGTATTAGAACTGTGGCCTGGTAATTTACATACTTGTTTAGCTATCGTCTTTAGTAAAATTCTTGTATAAGCTACATTCACTCCAAATCCAATTTTCAGATTGGAAAGCCTACCGAACCGATTAGAAAATCAATGCAGTGTATAAGAATAGGGACATTGGTGTTCAGCGCATCAGAAACACTGATGTGAAAGGAGATTAATACAACAAAGTGCATTCCTTCAAGATCAGGCTTTCTTGTGCATGTTCTCTGGCTCGAAACTTGCCAGTGTCAGTCTGAGTTTGTTTGCCCTGTAAAGGCAGTTAATACTCCAATTACCATTTCCCTTGAATGTTGCTTTTCCTGTGTATACTTATGAAGTTTTTTTTTTTTTTTTGCTTTTTCCTTCAGATCCAGAGAAACGTCACTATGGAGCCTTTGGATTCTTTCCATTCGCTGGTCTTGTGGGCATGACAATTAAGATGACAGGAGGACATCTTGGCTGGTGGTCCTGTTGTTAGAATCACCATGTGGTTGATTATGTATTTAGATGGTTGATGGTGTATTTAGATGTATGACGGTCAATTTGAATGGCTGATGGGTCATTCTGACTGGATATGAATTCATTGAATGAATGGTAGTATTAGTGCAAATAGATTACTAGGCACTTTGATTGCTATTGGAATCTATTAATGTCTATGTGGCCATTTTGTTGGCATTCAGTCCAGCTAAGTGGTTTGAAATTCACCGTATATAGAGACTCAGAAAGAGGGGCAAATAATCATTAATGCTTTGGCGTTAAGATTAAGGTAAATCAAGGTACAGGTAAATCAATTCATCTATATAGTTCTAGGTAGTTCTCAGGACATCTAATTGGTTCCTAGTCCATCTCAGTGGTTCCCAGAGTCAATTTAAATAATTCCCAGTTCAATCAAAGTAGTTCCCAGTCCATCTTGCTGGTTTCCAGTCACTCTGCTGGTTCCCAGTCCATCTTATTAGTTATCAGTCCATCCTGTTGGTTCCCAGTCTATTCATTGATCCATTCAGATAACCAGTGGTATATGTTATATAGCTGGCAGCCCTTTTGTTCATATAAAAATGATGTCCATCTAAATACGCTTCAGATCATTTGGATATGCTAGTCGACCATTACAAGCAGGGATAGATAAGGATTGAATTTAATTTTCATATAATTATTACAACTATAAGCAGATTGCATGGTTCTATGTTTGTATTTGAATTTGTTCTATGAACTCAAAGTAAACAGAAATATTTGTAATTTTAGAATAGGCATTGTCCAAAAATTTTGATGAATCATCAATCATGTGATAGATGATTACATAAAGCTCTGTCTTCATTATCAAGTTTAATGTAAGAAATGTGTGTGAATTGCCCATATATGGGCATGATGATGTCATATCACATCCATATATGGGCATTATGATGTCATATCCATATATGGGAATGATGATGTCATGTCATATCCATATATGGCATGGTGATGTCATATCACATCCATATATGGCCATGATGATGTCATATTGTATCCATATATGGGTATGATGTCATCACATCAATATACTGTATGGCCATGATGTTATATCGCATCCATATATAGCCATGATGATGTCATATCACATTCATATAAAGCCATGATGATGTAATATCCCATCTATATATGGGCATGATGTCATATATCCATTCATGGGAATCAAATCACTAGCATTTGTTACATCACATCTGACAGTAAGGATAGATCTACAGTATTAACAATTAATTTTATAGATTTGTGCAAATTTCTTCCAAAATGTTTAAATTCTCCACTCCTATAGGTAAAGTTCTGTCCACTCTATCAAATATCTGTGATTTCTCCACGAATGAAATATTATAATTTAATATCATTTAACATCAGGTTATCAGTACTGCTGGTTATTAATTATCTTCTCATATGAATTTATACTTTGCAAAAAACCAGGAGATAGTGTGATCAATATTTTGGTTTTAGATTTACAGTAAATGTTATATCAGTTGCTATGGAGAAGGAATTACACATTAATTCTAGTAGTCTTAATTATATCTATATATTTGTTTTCATAAGATTAAGTAAATTGAAATATTTGTTTATTAGTTGGTAAAACATTTTGTGTTAATTTTTAATTGGTAGTGATTGCAAATAGATTATTGCCCTGTAATTATATTGTATATAGATTAAGATTCATGAATGCAGATTTCTGTGTCAATAAAGTAAAGCAATACAGATATCAGTGAATTTCCTTTTTCTTATCTTGAAAATGTTCAAAATTATTATTATTAAAATTATCATTATTATTATTATTATCATCTTATTATTATAATAATAATTATTATTGTAAAACCAACAACAATAACAGCAACATTACAATAATAATAAAACAGTAACTATAATATATTATAGTATTTACATCGAAAGTAATATACAGTATAACAAAACTAATAATATGGTTATAACAATACACAATTTAAATAAAAGTACTAAAAAATGACGCTAGTACAGTATAACAAAATACTAATAAACTACTTTGCTCGCACTTAAAGCACTTGACTTTTATTATAGACTACAGTAGTTGCAGTTTTTGTGATCGAATGACTTCGTGTACAATGTACAAATCGTCCATGCGTAAAACTTACTCAATGAACGCCATAAAATCGGCGCTAAACATAGGCTTTAGCAATATCAATGTTTATTCAAAACAGGACTGAATACATATGGATAATAATAAAGTACCGGTTGAAACAAATGAATTTAACTCGTTTTGTCCTACACACTTGACTTTTGTACAGGAGACCATGTGGTCTCTGGTACAAAAGTTTTCTCATGGAAAAGTGCATGTTCTGGGGTTTCAAAATATATTTACATTTACCTAGAGTTTGTCACAAAAGGATGACAGACTGCGCAATGTACTTCAGGTTATTTTTGAACACAGATTTACTATTCTTTGCAAGGCGTTCGTGTCTTTAAGATTTACATTGCCAAACCACATAATAAATATGGAATTTTCAACAAACCAGTTATAAAAAGCTTATTTTTATTTACTTTAAATATTTAGTTTCTAAGTATGTATAATCTCTGGTTTCATTTTTTAATTAAGGTATCAGCATTTAATCCCCAGCTGACATTGTCTTTAAATATAGTACCAAGGTACTTGCAAGAATTTACTACAATCTCAACTGGTTCGTTATTCAAGTATAAAGTACAATGTTGGTAGCGCATTCAAGTAAATAACTGTCTTATTTCCGGGGGGATTTTTTTTATACTGCAGCTTATGCTTGCTACATATATCCAGCTTTCAAGCTATATACAGACGAATACTTGGCTACGACATATCGACAGTGAAACCATTGTTACTGTGGAAGAAGAGAAAAGAGAACATAAAAATGAACGCACCGAAGGACTTACGTACCTTCCTGGAATTCTGGACTAGGAACAAAATTGAGGAAATATATACATGGTTGAGAGTGTTCCAGAATCTAAGTAATGCCTAATTAATTTCCACAATATTAAGGCAGACATAAGCAAATTTAAACTAAATTAAGAGGAAGGGAGTTGACCACCGCCGATAGAAAGGGAATGGAATCATCTATGATTGAGAGTGTAACTATATAATATGCTGTTTTTATAAGGCCGTCACGCCAAACACTATATCAAATGCTTTTCGGAAGTGGGATGGCTAGATATCGTATTTTTTCCTTCTTAATTTAGACGTGCATATTAGAATACCTTTAAGGGTAAAAATATGATCTTCGCATCTATACTATGTTGGAATCTTTTCAATTTGGATTAATTTGTTAAAAATATTATTATTGACATGTGTGCTGTTCAAAAAACATGTTTAAAATAAAACTTACGAATTTATCAAAGGGCTGTTTATTTTTTGAACGCTTCCTCAAAAAATACATGGCTAACACAACTACGGTTATTATAAGAACGGGAATACTGTTGAACACTATCCAAACCTGAGAACTGGATGACGAGGGCGGTATTGCTTCTGTAAAAAAATTATGGTGTTAATTAGGAAAAATAAATAAGATTTTGTTGTTTATTAATACAGTATAAATATAAGATTGCGATGTAATGTAAACAAAAGGATTGTAGTGTTTATAAGAAATACGAATAAAACTATTACGATGTTTATTAAAAAATTATAAATAAAAATATTACTATGTTCATAAGAAATACAATATACATTAAACAATTTACGGTGTTTGTGTATAGAAATAAAAATATCTCCTATAAGCGGGATAAATATATCTTAAATAAGCGGGATCGCGATTATAGAGGACGGTTAACTTCTCAGAAAATCCGACTAAAATTACGCCTAACAAATTTATCTGGTACAATATAAATCCAAATTACAAGTATCTGAGATAGTCTACACAACTTGTGAATATTTGAGTAAATTTGTGAAATAGGGATACCCACCACATGCAATTTTACGAGCTCTACGCCAGGCCCAATAATTCAAGATCTTAGCGATTTGAACTGACGGTCATTGACCTCCGCAAACGGTCATTGATCTATCGCAAAGTTGGACTGTACGTAACATTAACCATAGTGGCAGGCCAATTCAACAGGCGTTTCGGATACCAAGCATCCTGATATTATATTGCGTATATTGTATTGGATTTACATTTATTACTGTGCAACAAACTGTAAGTCTTTATTTTTGGCGCGGAAACTCTAATCACGTGACCATAATATTTACGTTTTCACCCGCCAAACACGTCACTGGATAACAACACTCACGTGACAATAATATTTACGTTTTAATTCATCAAGGTTAGAACAAACCGGCTGTTAATTGTTACTAATCATACTCTACACCTGGTCACTAATCACAAACGAAGGCAGCTGTCTATTCTTCCGACAATCAAGTCTAGCTTTCTAAGTTATATGGTCAATTCGCACTGTGCTTACTTAGTTTTATTCTAATTACCGTACGCTATAGCCTTTGAGTAGGCGTACTTTGAATGCCAGATAAATCTAAAAAGAAAAAAAAACGTATTACGCAGTAGCCAAGGGCAAAAATACGTTACCCAGGGGCTATATACGAGTCCTCTGATACTGAGGGTGAAGCTATAACTTTCCTTCAAAAATACAGCGACGATGCAAATGATGTATCCTTGTTAGTATTAGTGAGGATACCGACACCAACACTTCACACAATACACAAACTATACATGGGGGGCATCTACAAAACGACACCAGCTTGAACACTTCACACAATGCACAGACTATACATACAGGACGACGGACACATTGACCTATTACCAACGGATACTAAATTGATTGTAGATTCCTACTCGAGAAACTTTACAGTGAATGAAAATGAACTAATCAATTTGAAATCATTCATAAATTTAACAAAATATCAAATAACAATATTTATTGTTATTACTGTTATTGTTATTAATGATAATGATTTTAATAAAAATAATAATAGAAATTTTCTATATAGAAAGCGATTGGCGGTGGACGGAGATATGCTCTCTACTGAGTGCTCTTGATATTATAATTATTGTCGCCACCGCCGTCGTCGTCTTCATCATCGTCATTATCATTTTTATCATTATTATTTTTATCATTATCATTTTTATCATTATAATTATAATTATTATTACTATTATTATTAGGCTTTTGTGTGGTTTTGTTGCATGCTATTGCTGTCATTAAGGTTGAGCAGATAGATATACTAATCTATTAACATCATCTGTTTGATTTTAAAACAATTTATTATAACAGTTTCAGATAAATTCGTTTGTAGTCTATAAAATACCCCTTTGTCTGGCCTACCTTTTTTTTTAAAACTGAATGCAATGGAATTGCTATATTTGCCGTTTTCACCGACAAAGAATACGTTTTCAGCTCTACAACTGTAGGTTCCTTCATCACGTTGATTAAATGTCTTTATTTCTAATATTTCATCGTTGAAAATGTAATTGTCAGAAGCACTGTCTATGACGTCGCCCTCATGGAACCACGTGAACAAACTCACCTCCGGATACGACGATACTTTACATGACATAGATATTTGCGTACCTTCAGGTATACGTGTACGTGTGTCATTTAGTGTCTGAATTTTAGGGTTATCCAGATCTGTTGATAACAATCATAACCGTAATCATTATGATCATGATGATGACAGTGATGATGATAATGATGATGATAGGCCTGATGATGACTGTGATGATGATGTTGATAGGTCTATTGTGGATAATGATGATGATTGCTTTTGTGAATTATAAATGAAAAATGTAATAATAAATTCGTATTATTGAAGCCGATAGTATCAGGCCCGTAGCCAGGTCATTTCAAAGGGGGGGGGGGTTCTCTGGGCGTGGGGTCCAGAGGCCTGGGCCCCCGGTGGGGTCGGGGGCGAAGCCCCGAAGCCAGAGCAGTTGTGTTTATATAGGTCTATATAATGTTATAAAAGCAGTTATGTTTTGAAAAAGATCTATGTAATAAAAAGGTGGTAAATATGATAAAATTAGAAAATATTTCGTGAGTGGATTTCCCGTACGATTAAAAATCGTAACTGTACTGCACCGTGAGTGGATTTCCCGTACGACTAAACATCGTAACGGTACTTGTCAGGGGCGGATCCAGAAATGTCCAAAAGGGGGGGCCGGAAGGGGGGCCGAAAGTTGGGCTGTTGAGCCAACACTGTCGTAGGGGGTCCGGGGGCATGCCCCGTGGAATTTTTGTGTTCTAGAGGCCCGAACATAACATTTGAGACATTCTGGGCTATTATTTTTTTCTTTTTCCCTCTTGTTTTTCTTTTTTCTTTTTTTACTTCCCAAAAGGGGGGGGGGGCCGGGGCCGGGCCGGCCCCTCCTAAATCCGCCCCTGCTTGTTTTGGTCTACAGGAGTTCGTGCTACGGACAGGTCATTCCATTCATAGAAGAAGCCATTTCATGGAGAAAGTGTAACTTTTAGCAAAGGTTTGTCTACGTCGAAACTAACTCCGGCTATATAAAAATTGATTAGAATAATATTGAAAATGTTATTCGTGTTAATGAATAGATAAAGATTACTAGGCCTAATATGTCCATTTTTATTGATCTAATCTACGTGTATTTACTTTCATAGTTTATATTTAAATATTTGAAATTGTTTATAAATTTATTTAAAATATTATATGAAATAATGTAATCATTAAATTTATAATAATTGATATTTCAATAAAGCAAAAGATTGAAACATGTTAAATACAGACACAAAGTATACATAAACCTATTTCTAGATTACAGAAAATATGTAAATCTGTATTAAAATGATATAAATTTATATATATACATAGAAATATTA